TGGGGTGTCTTTTTCATTTGAGGGCGTCATGGTGACTTCCTTGTTTTTATTACCTTGGTTTTTGCGTTTGTTATTTGGTATATTGGAGATATTTGGTTTCTTCACTGTGGTGCTTTTTCTTGTTAAACTATGACTCTAGATTAAGTGGACTATCTGTTTTTGATGGAGCCTTAGGGCTTGAGATGGGTGTGGCCTGAGAGCTCTGTTTGGTGTGCCAAAGGTGACACTCCCAGGTTAGGCGTGGTAAATCTCTCTCTCTCTCTTTTTTTTGATTCAAAAGGGAAGTAATTCCGCACAGCTGAACGAAGTTGGAGGTAGTTAGCAGGCAAATGATATACCCACAGGAGCCAGAGATTGGAAGCTCTTTCCCAAGGACCACACAGGGAATCTGTTCAGCCCTCAGAGTGGGCTCAAATTCTCCTTCAGTCTCCCACTGGGTTGCCAAAGTTACGGAATTGTAGCGTCTCTGGAGAGTGCTCACGTGAATTCCGTGAGTTCTCTCCCCCACCGTCTCTTTTTTCACAGTCTCAGTTCAGTAGCACCACAAATTTACTAGGTCCTAATCTCCTGTTAATTCGCCCCGCCCAGAGTCAGGTTTTTCTGCTAGGCTCAGGGCCGGTGCAGACCTGAGGTCGCTCTGCTTATGACGTATGTCCAAGACGGCGCCTGCTCTTTGTCTTGCTCGTCTTTGAGAGGTGAGCGGAGAGAGAGAAACCCGTGTCCTTATCAGTCACCTTTCTCTCTCTCTCTCTCTCTCTCTCTCTCTCTCTCTCTTCCAGTTAGCCTGGTGAACTTTTCCCCCCCGGGGGTCGTTCCCTCTAGTCTCCTCTTTCTGCTTGCCTGCCGGTGTCTCGGGCTATTGAGGTTCGGCTCACCTCGCGTTCCAGCGCTGGTGTGTTGAGTCTGCCGCTGGTGTCCTGAACTGTGGGCTCCCATGCTCTCCATGCAGGTCCGCTGTGAATCATGCATTCCGGAAGAGTTTCTTCTGCTGTTTCCTCCCCTACTCTTCCCTGAACCTGCAGTATCTCCACTTTTATTAAACTATCTCTCCCAGGACTATCAGTGTGCTCCCTTCCTATTCCGCCATCTTGCTCGATTTCCTCTTCCAATTCTTTGCTTCCATTGTTACAGAGGGGAGTGGAGTAGATGGAGACTTGCAGATGGGTGACTTCCGGGATGGTGTAGAGAAAGCACAAAAGATTTTTATTACCCTTCCTCCCTCCCTCCCTCCCTCCCTTCCTTCCTTCCTTCCTTTGGACAAAGCAAAGTTTATTTAAGTCTGAAACCTCCTGCTGCAGCAGCCAGGAGGAGGGCTCCAAGAAAGAAAGACCCAAGAAACTGGTTGAAGAGAAGTCTTTTACTCACAATTTCGGGGGAACAATCAATCAAAGAGGGAGAAAAAATCCATCAGAGGGCAGGAATTGTGATCCTGTCTAGCCTACTCATGATAAAACAAACAAAAAGCCATCAAACGGGTGGGATAGACCATGTCTTTCTAGTCTCATGATAAAACTAGAACTCAGGGGGCTGGCACTGTGGTGTAGCAGGTAAAGCCGCTGCTTGCAGTGCAGGCATCCCTTAGGGACGCCGGTTCATGTCTTGGCTGCTCTACTTCCAATCCAGCTCTCTGCTATGGCCTGGGAAAGTAGTAGAAGATGGCCCAAGTCCTTGTGCTTCTGCACCTACGTGGGAGATCTGGAAGAAGCTCCAGGCTCCAGGCTTCGGATGGGCACAGCTCCAGCCCATGTGGCCAATTGGGGAGTGAGCCAGCAGATGGAAGACCTCTCTCTCTCTCTCTCTCTCTCTGCCTCTTTTTCTCTCTTGGTGTAACTCTGACTTTCAAATAAAGAAGTAAATCTTTTTAAAAAACTAGAAACTCAGGGCCGGCGCCGCAGCTCATTAGGCTAATCCTCTGCCTAGTGGCGCCGGCACACCGGGTTCTAGTCCCGGTCGGGGCACCGGATTCTGTCCCGGTTGCCCCTCTTCCAGGCCAGCTCTCTGCTGTGGTCAGGGAGTGCAGTGGAGGATGGTCCAAGTGTTTGGGCCCTGCATCCCATGGGAGACCAGGAGAAGCACCTGGCTCCTGCCTTCGGATCAGCGTGGTGTGCCGGCCGCAGCGCACTGGCTGTGGTGGCCATTGGAGGGTGAACCAACGGCAAAGGAAGACCTTTCTCTCTGTCTCTCTCTCTCACTGTCCACTCTGCCTGTCAAAAAAAAATGTAAAAAAAAAAAAACAACTAGAAACTCAGAAAGACGGGATTGGCACTTTTGTCTTATTAAAGGTAGCTTTGGGAGAGAAGTAACCATTTTGTATACTCTTAAAGGAACTCCCCCTTTTCTCATCCCAACAGAGCTGGCCTAACTTCCTATTTATTTATCTATCTCCTCACATTCCTTCCCCCAGCCCCTGTCTCCCAGAAGAATGGACCCTAACTGCTGTTAGGGATATGAGGGCTACAACCACTCTGGCTGCTTTGAAGTATGAAATTTCCTTGCTCACGGGATACAGTTATCCGTCACCCAGGCTATTTTGTGTGTGTGGGTTTCCTGAGGTGCAGGGCCTGTGACATAGGACTAACAGGTTGGGTAGAGGTAGGAATGGAACTATCTCCACAAATCCATCATTGATTTAAGCAGGGCAGGTATCGGAATCAGGTGTCAGGTTTTCCCTACCTGGAGAAATAGCAGGCGTGTTAGTAAGTGCCTTTCTGAGATGATGCACACTGCTTCCACAGTGTCAGAGCTATCCGTACCTCAGACGCATCGATAAGGAGGCCCTGGACACAGAGCGTCAGGTGCGGTTGAGGATCAGAGTTAAGCAGGATGAGAGAGTGTCGAGTTGGTGGAGTTGTTGAGAAACAACAATCCGGTAGGAGATACAGAGAAAGGAAGACTGGCTCTGCCCACCCACTGCTCAGAGAAGGGAGCACAGGATGGCCCCTGTCAGAGAGCTTGGTGTGCTAGTACCGTAGCTTACACAACCCATGTGGGAGGGGCCGGCCTAGAACCAGAATATTACAATATTACACACCCATGTTTTATTTCTAAAAGCCCAGTTTCATCACCTGTGACTCCTCTGGCCTCGGCAGTTCTAGCAAATAAAAACTCACCTGGGGCTTTGAAATTTCAGCTGTTCTGACCAAATGATGGACATCAGTAGGATCCCTGGCAAAGAGGATGCAGGAGCAAAAGGATAAGGATCCTTACACATCAACTTCTTAGGTAAATCAGAGGCTGGAACTATTCACAAGAGTAAAGTTTTGTATTTGGTAACAAGAAGGACCCCAAACCAAACAACCCCAAACCCTAAAAAAATCCCTTGTGGTGCTTCTGTGGCAAAGGTAACTTTGATGGAACCCGCCCTTTATTGAGTATATCCCTAACTCATCAGAATGTAACCATTTGCGTGCTTATTGATCATAATGAACAGTAACATGTAAGTAATTACATGTTAATATAGAGTATGGGGGCTGGCACGGTGGCATAGTAGGCTAAGACTTTGCCTGCAGTTCCCATGTCCCATATGGGCGCCAGTTCGAATCCTGGCTGCCCCACTTCTGATCCAGCTCTCTGCTATGGCCTGGGAAAGCAGTGCTCAGCCCTTGTACTCATGAGGGAGACCCAGAAGAAGCTCCTGGCTCCTGGCTTCGGATCGGCCCAGCTCCAGCCATTGCAGCCATTTGGGGAGTGACCCAGCAGATGGAAGACCTTTCTCACTCTCTCTCCCTCTCTCTGTCTATAAATCTGCTTCTCAAATAAATAAATAAATAAAATCCTTAAAAAATATAGAAGAATAGACAACAGTTTCTCTTTGAAATGAGTCTTTTTCCTTTTATGAATAACAATGTGGTGGCCTCCTGGTTCTGCAAAATTTCTTTTTTTTTAAAGATTTATTTATATATATGAAAGTAAGAGTTACACAGAGGCACAAGCAGAGAGGGGGGTGTCTTTCATCCACTGGTTCACTCCCCAAATGATCCCAATGGCCGAAGCTGGGCTGATATGAAGCCTGAAGCCAGGATTCAGGAGCTTATTCTGGGTCTCACACGTGGGCACATGAGTCCAAGGACATGGGCCATCTTCTACTGCTTTTCCAGGCCATAGCAGAGTTCTAGATCAGAAGAGGAGCAGCTGGGACATAAACTGGTGCCCATATGGGATGCCAGCACTGCAGACGGTGGCTTTACCTGCTATGCCACAGTGCTGGGCGCTCTGGAAGATTTCTTATTGAAGAAGTTGAACACTATGAGTTTATTGCATTAGTGAGGACAGCTTATAAAAGACCTGATCCTGTTAGAGGATGACTCGCTCTCTCCAGACATCTTTCAGATAGGTTCCTTACTGCTGGGAAAGAACTTCCCTCACCTCTTTTAAAAGGATTTGTTCATTTATTTAATTGAAAGACAGAATGACAGAGAGATGTAGCGAGAGAGAAAGGGAGAGAGGGAGAAAGAGGACAGAGGGAGAGAGGGAAGAGGGGAGAGAGAGAGAGAGAGCAGCGAGAGAGAGCTCTTCCATCTTCTGGTTCACTTCTCAAATGGCCACAACAACCAGGTCTGGACCAGACCAATACCAGGAGCCTCAGACTCCACCCTGATCTTTCACATGGGTGGCAGGGACCCAAACACTTGGGCTCTCCTCTACTGCCCTCCTAGGTACATTAGCAGGAAGTTGGAATGAAAGCAGAGCAGCCAGGACTGGAACCAGCTCTCTGACATGGGGTGCCAGCATCAAAAGCAGTGGCTCAAGCTGCTGCTTCAGGATGCTCACCCCTTCCTCACCTTTGATGCCCCACTCAAATGTTGTTTCTTCAACCAGGCTTATTCTCTGCTTTCTTCATCTCTGACTGCATCACTGCTGGGATAAATCATATCATCTCTTTTTTTCCCTCTGAATACCATCCCCTCAAATGCTGCTGTTTGAGAAAATTGCTCACATGGGATGTCCTCTCTTTTGGTCCATAATTCCTTTGAAGTCAGGGACTATGTCACGTTCACCAAAGTTCACTCCCCTCTTGTCATAAATAGATCCTTGAACATATCAAGTGCTCAATACACATTTATTAAATAATGAATCATTGGAACTGCAAAGATTAGGTGTCTAGAAATTTATTCCTCCAATCCACAGTCTCCTACATGAGATGCACTCAGATGTGTGTGCACAAAGATCCATGGATGTCCTCGTGCAGAAAGATGCATATGCCCCAGGAAGCTTTGTTAAAATCCATCTTAAACTCCTATCTTTTACTTCATCGAGGAATAGCAGGGTTTAACCAGGCTAAATGGAAGCTTGAAGAGCTGGGTGCAAGCAGTTGGAGAGATGTTTCCCTCAGTTTTCCAGGAAAGAACAAGGGTTATAGAGCACAGAAAGGAGATGATCTCTTTTGCCTTTGGAATCTTGGATTTGCTTATCTGGAACCTTGGATCACATTGGAATAACCTGGCATTGAACACGATGGTTCTGGGATTACCACTGATTGGTTGCATACACATTTGGGATGACCAGACCCACCTGAAAAACACAAGCACATGGGGGCACATGTGATGGTTTGGATAAGGTGATATGGTGTGTCCCTCACAAGTCCATGTGTCAGAAGCCTTGTCCCTACTGTGGTGGTGTTGAGGTAGTGGGACTTTTAAGAGATGGGGTCTGGTGGAAGGTAGCTAGATCATGAGGGCTCCATCTACTGGGGCTGGGTTTCAAAGGAGTGAATTAGTTTTTCCAAGAGTGGGATGTCATAAAGGGATGCCACTCCACATGTTTGTGGCTGTTTGCATTTCTGCTTTTCTGCTATATTTTGATGTAGCCAGAGAGGACCCTCATGAAGGCTCTAGCACTTTTCTGTTTGCACCTTTAAGACAATAGAGTCAGTGGCCAAATAAATTTGTATACTTAGAAGTTATCCAGTCCCTGATATTTTGTTACAACAACACTAACTGGAGTAGGGCAGTGCGCTCCTGAGATTGGAAGAAGAATGTCATGGAAAGCATGGAAGACTTTAGATGGAGGACTCCTGCTCTTGGGAAAGTACAAGTAACATGAAGACTCTTCTGTTCTCCATCTTCTTTGGGGCATCTTTCCACCCACTATTCTCCCCAGGACTCACGTTGTTGTGTTGATAGCAGGTCAACTGGCAGCCAAAGTGGGAAGATGTGCATGCAATGCAGAACTCCAGGGTGCAGAAGATGAGCAGCATACCAGAAATAGCCATCTCAGGGTTCTGGAAGCAGAAGGCATGGGGAGGACATGAGCACTGGACTCAGAGTCCAGACATCTGAGCTGGAATGGTGGCTCTACGCTAGACCATTTCTGTGGCTTGTGGGTAGTCCCCTGCTCCCTCCCAGCTTCGTGGGGAAAGTATCTCCCTGGGTTTTGTGACGTTCAAGTGTGAGTGGAAGAGAATTGTTATTTGAATTTACTACCAATTCACCTCTAAGGGAAAGGAAGGCATTGTTTAAGGAAAACTCTCGATAAGTTGCTTTAGGAGCGTTTTATGAATAAGTCGAATTTGAGCATAGAATTGATGTGACCTTAGGGGTTGCTGCGGTGGCTGTGCTAACAACAGCTCGGAGGAGGCCAGGCTGGAAGAAGAGAGAGTGGGCAGCAGGCTGTGTCGGGAGTATAAGAGAGATGTGGTGGCTTGGGACCATGTGGAAATGTAGGAACTGGGGGAAGATGATTGATTTCTGGATGGGTTTTGAAAATATAATGAACAATGTTCTCTAAAGAGTTGGCTGTAGGCTGTCACAGACAGATGGGGCCAATGATTACTCCAGGGTTTTGCTGCCAGCAAACGTAACCAGAGGGTTGCTATCCATTGAGACAAGGAAATCCAGGTGGAGACGATTGGGAAGTGAAATCTGGAGAATCTGATTTGTGAATTTCAAGCTGAATAGTGGGCTATTGGATGTGCCAGACTGGAGTGTGGGAGCTGGAGCTGTGCACTCAAGAGTCATTGTTAGAAAGAAGATGTTTCAAGCCAATTAACTGGGTGGGATCGACAAGCCAATTAGCAGAGAGAAAAAAGAAGAGGACCTATGATTGAGCCTAAGAGATTGATGAAAAAGAGAAGAATCAGCAAAGGAGGTGAAGACAGCAACCACCCAGGGAGGGACCTGGAAGCAAGGGGAGGCAGCAGAGAGGAATGATTTGGGTGTGGGAGCTGAGCAGGTTTTTGGAGATATGAGGAGGAAATTGTGATTGGAGTGGGTCCAAGAGAGAACACGAGAGGAGAAAATTGGAGATAGAGAGTGTAAAAAATGCTTTTAAGAATTCCCGGCGAGGAGGACTAAGGAAATTGGATGGTAGCTGACAGGAGAAGCACATGGAAGACTTGTTGGCTTGGTTTTCAAGGTGGATGCAGGAGAAGCAGGTTTCCTGGCTGATGGAATATGACTCCAACAAAGGAGAGAAAATTAATCAGGTAGAGACCAGAGGAGGCGGGGAAGAGGAGCAGAGTGTGAGTGCGTCAGGGAGGAGTTGTGCAGGTGAAGGGACTGAGTTAGCTCACGGAGAGTCACCTGTCCAATTCAGTAGCCACAATCCCCCTGGAGCTGTTAAGCACTTGAAATGTGACCAGTCCCAGACTGAGATGTACTTTAAGGACAGAATATACATTGGATTTCAAACATGTTGATACCACCAAAGCAAAATATTGAATTAATAATTTTTAAAAACTGATTACAGGTCGAAATAACAACATTTTAAATGTTAGGTTAAGTAAAATATTCAACTTAATGTCATGGCCAGTGCCATGGCTCACTAGGCTAATCCTCCGCCTTGCGGCGCCGGCACACCGGGTTCTAGTTCTGGTCGGGGCTCCGGATTCTGTCCTGGTTGCCCCTCCTCCAGGCCAGCTCTCTGCTGTGGCCAGGGAGTGCAGTGGAGGATGGCCCAGGTGCTTGGGCCTTGCACCCCATGGGAGACCAGGAGAAGCACCTGGCTCCTGCCTTCGGATAGGCGCGGTGTGCCGGCCGCAGTGCACCAGCTGCAGTGGCCATTGGAGGGTGAACCAACGGCAAAAAGGAAGACCTTTCTCTCTGTCTCTCTCTCACTGTCCACTTTGCCTGTAAAAAAAAAAAAAACAACAACAACAACAACTTAATGTCACTGTTTTGTTTCTCTAACATGGAAACTAGAAAATTAAAATCATATATGTGGTTTGCATTATACTTCTGTTGAACAGCATTTGTCTAGAGCACAGGTTGATGAATTATGATCCATGGGTTAAATTCTGCCTGCTGCCTACGTTGTAAGTCATGCTTAATCAGAACATAGCTCTGCTTATTTGCTTACTGTTTTCTGTGACTGCAATGGGGGCAGCTGTCGCTACAATACAGACAGTTTAGCCAGCAAAGCTTACAACATTTACTATCTGGTCCTTTAGAAAAAAACATTTGCTGACCCCTGGTCTATAGGAATGGGAAGAAGTCAAAGGATGGGAATAGGGAAGCTGGTTGATGGGCCCATAGACATTACATGCACTATTACATTTAATCCTCTGGACACCTAGAGTAGGTCCTGCTTTACAAAGGCAGAAACCAAGAGTACTAAAAGTCATGTGCTTAAGGCTACATATTGACGATTTGAGGTTGGCTATGATTCTGACAACACCAACCTTCCCCACAGTGCTTGGTGAGGATGCTTGCTTGTTACACCCTTTCTGATGATTTTTCTAAACACAGCTGTCAGGACCTGAAGGATCTTTTGTTAAGAGGGATACTCACCACACCCCAGGTCTCAAAGGGAACATAATAGTTGGGGAGTTTATATGTGCTGATGATACTTATATCCGTGATGAACAGTACAATTCCAACCGCAGAGCAGATTGCACTGAAGATGTTCACGCCCACACTGCCATTCAGCTGAAAAAGAAGACACAGATGGTCTGGGTGGGAGAAGAAGGCCGTTCTAGCTGAGATAGTAGAGATTCAGCACGTGTTCCTTCTATTCTCCCCAATTTTCATTGTGTAAAAATTTACCATCTTAAATTGAGAGTTCAGTAGTAATAAATAGTTCCATAATGTTGTGTAACCATTACCACCATTCAACTCTGTTTCCATCAAAGAGCATTTATAAGTGTAAGTGTCTAGAACTCTATGCTTTCAGCAAGGAAAGAGGTGGTCTGTGCATGGAGATTTGGGGGGTAAATCAGCTTTGAAAAATGCTAGGTTCAACACAGGTATGCAGATCTGCAGGACTTTTAAAAGCTTTTAATGGCGGCTCACTAGACTAATCCTCCGCCTGTGGCGCCGGCACCCTGGGTTCTAGTCCCAGTCGGGGCACTGGATTCTGTCCTGGTTGCTCCTCTTCCAGTCCAGCTCTCTGGTGTGGCCCAGGAAGGCAGTGGAGGATGGCCCAGGTCCTTGGGCCCTGCACCCGCATGGGAGACCAGGAGCAGGCACTTGGCTCCTGGCTTCGGATCGGCGCAGCACGCCGGCTGTAGCAGCCATTTGTGGGGGGTGAACCAATGGAAGGAAGACCTTTCTCTCTGTCTCTCTCTCTCTCAGTGTCTAACTCTGCCTGTCAATAAATAAATAAATAAATAAATAAAAGCTTTTAATGAACATTGTGGATCTTCCAGAGAGGGGGCAGTAAATAGAGAGTTGTTAGCCTAGCTGTCTTTACAGAGCACAATGTGGGACAAGAGTTCTCAGAAATGATCTTTGGGAAACACTAAACCCATTTATCCCATAAGAGTCTTGGCCCTAGTGTCTTGAGATGCGATAGACTCAGACACTCCAAGAGTACAAAGGTTTGTTCAAGTTGATTTTCTGAGCTTGCTTGGCTGGATTCTTCAGGGAAGCAGGTGCTGGAAACTTTGGGGCCCCTCTAGGAATGGCTTCAGGCTCTCTTGGCCCCTTGTTTTTCTGGAGAGGGCCCTGAGCCCCTGGGAGCTGTGTACCTCCCTCTGCAAGGGCCTCCCAGGGAGGCCTCATCTTTTCTTTCTGATGCTTTCTTTATTACTTCTCCCCTCCTCTGAATCCTCTGGGGTCATTGCCACCTTCAAGTCCAGACTCAGATGGCTTGTGTGTCTGAGCGAATATGTGTGCAAGATCCCTGTGTCTGGTTAGAATAGTAGGTCCAAGGACGAGGGAGGAATTGTCTGTTAGCCTTATTTCATCCTTTGTGACATTACCCTTTGGGGCTCCTGCTGGGAGAGCTGGACTTACCAGGCAAGAAGACTTGGGCTGATTTTCTGCCGCCACTGACAGTGATCCTGAAATGATAAACTGGCAACGAAGTGAGGGGGTTCAAAAGGTGATCATGGCTTAGGACACTGTTCCTCAGGCTTCCGTAATTCTGGCCACACACAGATTCTCCCTGTCTCTTTGCTGGGACCATCAGCTCACCACAGGGTACACAATAAGTATACCCTTTCTCATCTGAAAATCGGAAACACTTCTCTCTCTTCCTAAGTGTCACTGTCATGGGATAATTGGGGTCCTGCATCTGACACTTAGAATAACTTGCACATGGGAGACACTTCATGAGTGTTAGTTTATTTCCCTTTCTTTTGTTTCCCCATATGCATGCCCTGCTGCTTTTTAACCTTTATGGTATGACTCAGCAGACTTAGGCACTCTGGAGGGGACAAGGAGGGGTTATCAGCTTTTCCGCTGCCTTTCACAATAAGCACCATAATAGTCCTCGCCTGTTTACTTATCCGGAGGAGCACCTTTTAGTTACTCAGGTACATATTGTGCCTCTGATGCTGAGCAAATACAAAGCTGATGGAGCAGATTCTGCACATGTCATCTCAACACTGGCATTCTCTACATATTGTGGTCACTGGGGTCACCCGTCACTGTTTTCCCATTGTGGTAGCCAGAGTGGTCTGAAAGGGTATGAGCTACAATTGAACAAAAAGCTACTGTTTGCTTTTCATGAGCACTACATGAAGAGCTTTTAAAAAATGGCTTCACTGAGATATAATTCACACATCACACAGCTCACCACTTGAAGAGTACAATCTGTTTAGTATATAGAGTTGTGTCACCATTACCACAACGTAGCTGAGAATATTTTTGTCACCTGCTCCCAAAGAAACCCCATCCCCATGGGCAATCATGCCCTTTTGCTCTCCACCCTCCCACCCTCCAACTACATGAACTGTTTTTCAAACTTGGCATGATAGCCCATCAAGGACTACTGTTAGCCCTAGTTTACAGTTGGGAAGACTGAACCTCACAGATTTTAAATAACTCACCCACATAAGTAGCAAAGCCAGGAATCAAACCCAAGTTAGACTGACTCCAGAGCCCATGCTCTTAATGCTCCCCCTTTGCTGCCCACCACTGAGGGCGATTCCTGTGTCATGGAGTGGAAATAGTCATTTACAATGAAAACGTATTTCTTCTGATCTTGCCTTCCAAGGGAAAGCAACATATTCCTATAAGTGCAAAAAGAAATCTCAGTTTCACAAGCTTCTCATTATGGAAACTTGAAGGGAAGGAAGAGAAATAAAGAATGGAATTTATAATTATTTATTTATTTGAGAGGTAGAAAGACACACAGATTTCCCAGCTGCTGGTTTACTACACAAATGACTACAATAGTTGGGGCTGGTCCAGGCTGAAGAGGGGAACCTGGAACTCAATCTGGGTCCCCTATGTGAGTGGCAGGGACTCAACCATTGGCACCCTCATCCTCCGCTTTCTTGTTTGTGCATTTGCAGGAAGCTGGAGGGGGACTGGTACTCAAGCCCAGGCACCCTGACACAGCATGTGGGCGACCCAAGTGTCTATCTCAACTGTTGAGCCAAACATCTGCTCCAGGCCTGGACTTTTGATGCCCCTGCCAGTCCTTTTGAGATACTCTTGTTTTGGAAGAGGATATTAAAAGTCTGTGTGGCATAGACAGTTCTGAGGGAAAAGGGCAGCAAACCCCCAAACTGCCCTGCAATCAAAAGTGAGGAAGGTCGTGCAGGCTGGGGGTACTGAGCAGCTCGGCAGAGGTGGGGAAAGCCAGCGAGGGGTTTGAGAGGCCTGCACTGAACACTTGCCCACACTCAGTAGAGTCTAACGCTCAATAGCACGTGTTTGTGTGGCCCTGATGTTAGTCCTCTCTTAGCCCCAAACTCCACCAAGGTTAGATATGCAGACATGGGTGCCTTGTGGGTGGTTAGTGGAGCAAAAGCAGCTGAGCTCCAAGTCTGGGTCTGTGCAGAGCGAAGACCATGGCCTTGGCAGGTGAGCTGCGTGTGTGGGGACCACAGGAGTATACACTCCAGACACTGAGCTCTGCGGTTCTGCAGACCCAGCGTGGGGGTGGTGGGAGATGGCTCTAGGCTGTTTTGTTTCAATTGTAAGGGGTAGGGTGACTTGGGTTGGCATCCAAGATATGCTGGAGTTTTGTGGTTTGTGAGAAAAGTTGCCTGTGAGTCACAGGTGGGTATGTGAGTCAGCAGAAAGATTGTAACAGAAGAGAGAAAAAGGAGAGAAGGAAGTAGAGAAGGGGGGAGGGGAGGAAGGGTGTGTGTGTATGCGGAAGGGGACATTAGGGAGAGCAAAAAGGAGTCACAGAGGTCGTGAACTGGAGTGGAGAAGGAAGCACAGAGGTTCTCAACCTTCTGTGGAGTCGTGAACCACCCTGAGAATGGGATGAAAGGCAGGAACCTTTTAGAAAGGTACAGCATACGTAACATGCCTGACACTTGGCCAGACAGGGCCTCCACAGCCCAGCTGTGCACTGTAGGCTGGGTCTCCTCTGCCCTGGCTGTCCTGTGGCTGGGAAGCCACTGCTGGCCCCTGGACAGGATCTTTCTTCTGGAGCTCAGGCCGGTGGGCCTCTGTTGGATAATACTAGCCAGCCATTCCCAGGACATTTTTATACATGAGTGCATTTTTAGTGAATAAAGAAAAGGTGCCAGCTCTAGGTTGATGAACCAGAGGTTCTATGATCCTCAAGGTGGGTGAAGTAGAAAAGCTGTTCCTGCTGGGTGGCTGTCACGTGATACTGGGGACTGAACTGTGTCCCTCTGTCCTCCCTGATTCTTTTTTTTTTTTTTTTTTTTTGTATGCTGAAGTCCTATCCCTCAGTACTTGAATGTATCTGAGTTTAGGAATAGAGTCTTCAAAGGGGTGGTTAGGTTAAATGAGGTCATTAGGTTGCACTCGAGTCTAATACAACTGGTGTCTTTATAAAGAAGAGACAAGGACAAAGACAGGCACAGTGCAAAGACCACATAAAGACACAGGAAGAAGATGACCATCTGGAAGCCAACACACAGATCCCTTGACCTTGGACTTGTGGCTTCCAGACCTGTGAGATCACACACTTCTGTGTGTGTGGTCCTTTGGCAAAGCAGCCTCGCATGCCAACACATGGGGTTAACAGGCCTCCCAGTACTGTGGGGGCTGGGCACTTTCTGCAGGGCACAAGTTGCATAACTTGACAATGTGGCCCTGGGTCAACTCCCATGCAGGGGCCCCACCTTCCTTACCCAGCTGCCTCCCCAGAAGGGAAAGCCTCCATAGAAGGAGATGGGGATGTAGTACTCGGAGCGGAGGGTGGCCATGACCGCGCCGAGGCCTAGGTGCACCAGGCCAATCAGGATCTGGACAGCCTGTTGGGAGAGCCACATATTGAATCCTTTGTTTCTGAGACTGCGTCCCGCTTCCCTTTGGAGCCACAGTTTCATTTTAATAATTTTATTTTCCTGGTCTAAAAAGTTACATGGGAAATATAAAAATAAAATAAAAACTACCTACAATTTCCCCCCAGCTGGAGAAAACAATCACTTATGTTTTGATGTATACTTGTCTACTACTTTTTCTAATATAGACCTTGATAATATAAACTGGCTGGGTATTTTATGAAGTTAATATTTCACCATGAATGGTACTAAGTATTCTTCAAACACTTTTTTAGGGCCTCCCAGATGTTTGGAATATTGGGACTTTGGATGAGTGGGATTGTTTCTATTTTTTTCATTCTACATAATATTGCAATGAACAGTGCTGTGGTGTGGAAACTGGTCTGGGTGTTTCCCAAAGATCCTCTCCTATTGCCTTCAGAGGGAGTATGTCCCGCTAACACCTTCATCTCAGATTTCCAGCTTCTGGAACCATGAGACAGCACATTCCTGTTGTTCTAAGCCACCCACTTAATGGTCCTTTGTTAAGGCAGAGCCAGGAAACTAATACAGATAAATTCTGTATAAATGGCTTAGAAATTATACATATACACACACACACACACACACACGTATGAGACAAACATTGCATTTGATTCTATTTTCCATGAAAATATTTTGAAATACCTTGTACATATATATTTTGGTGCAAAAATTTTGAAATCCATGCATACTTTTTATAATATAAACTTTAAAAATTTTATCCATTTGTTTACTTAAAAAGCAGAGTGATTGAGAGAGAAGGAGGGAGGAAGAGAGAAAGAGAGATATCTATCTATCTATCTATCTTGCATCTGCTGGTTCACTCCCCAGATGTTCACAACAATCAGGTCTGGGAAAGGCTGAAGCTGGGAGCAAGGAAGTCCATCTTGGTCTCCTGTATGAATGGCAGGGGCGTAAGTACTTGGACCATCCTCTGCTGCCTTCCCAGATGCATTAGCAGGAAGCTGGGTCAGAAGCAGAGCAGCAGGGACTAGCACCAGCACTCCAAAATGGGATGCCACTGTCCCAAGTGGTGGCTTAACCCACTGTATCACATACCAGCACTTTCACGAACTTTTTGAAGACTGCACATAGGCATGGATTTCAAAAATTTTGCACAAAAATACACTCTTTTTTTAGTTTCATTTTCACAGTCTTTTTGAAGTCCTCTCATATATGTATGTCTTCAGCAATCATGGTAGCAAATATTTCCTTCAATTCACACAAATGCTCATAAATTATACACACTGCCTATCCCTTACTTTCTTCCACTGACCAGGTATTTTGGGGTGTGTTCATATAACTATATAAAGAGCTTCTTTGATACTTTTGTAGGTCTGATACATGCCATTCTTAGTATGTACAATACCTTGGCTTAAGCAGCAATACAATGAAGGATATTTTCTGTTTCCATTCTTTGACCACAAATTATCCTGTCATGAATAAACTCACACATACCACATTTCTCCCGAGTGTAGGGAGGATAGTCTCAGAAATGGAATTATGGGGTATTTTGTAATTTCACCCTCCATTCAGGTTGTATCAATCTATTCTCCCAAGAGCAATATTTGACAACCTGGGCTGTCTGGAGCATACATACTCTTGTCATCCTTTGGATTCTTAGTGAAATGGACCTGCTTGCCCTACTCAGAATAGCCTTCCAACTTTTGTGGTGGATTCTTATTTCGCCGATTGTGTGGACTCTTATTTTGTTGATTGTGTGGACTCATTTTGTTGCTTGTCTAACCTGCTTTTTCTTTTCCTTTTTTTTCCTAACCAGCAAAGATTAGATTCAATCCCAGTGGGTTTCAACTCCAGCTTGGGTACCTACTTTGTGCTTGTTAGACCCACTTTCTTCCAGAAAACAAAAAAGGGATGCTGGCAACAGAAAGAACATTCAAGGGCACCACTTCTGGGATGCCATTCTTCCTCTTTCCTAAAATGCCTAAATCAGAAAATATAAGGCTCTCTGCTGAGGCTGCTGGTGGCGCTACACAGCTGATCATCATTGACATGTGCTTGACAAAGCCAGGCCAGCTCCAACCTCACTTGGTAGACTTGGAGTTTCTGTATCTCCCCAAAAACCTTCGCCAACCTCCACCTCCAGACATATGGTCTCTGACTTGCAAAGAAAAACCCCACTTACCCCTAAGGCTTTGCCTTCTTTCAAGGGTCTATGAGTAGACAGCTCATTCGGACTTGATACCAAGCCAACTGAGTTCCCAGGAATTAGGTGGACTCGGGGCTGGTTGTCTGGACCCAAGGGCACCTGAGACATGACTCCTGGGACCACAGGGTATTTGTTGTGGGGTGCCGCCACAAACACAGAATTTGCCATGGGGCCTGCTGCAGTCATCGAATTCATGCTCTAAAAAATAAATTCCATAGAATCATTCGTCACATGTATATGCATTTGAGTTTACATTTTAAGTGGTCATTATCCAAAAATCAAAAATTTACAAATGCTGGCAAGGATGAAAAGAAAAAGGTACCCTAATACAATGTTGGTGGAAATGTAAACTGGTTCAACCATTATGGAAAACAGGATGGATATTCCTCAGAAAACTAAAAAGAGATCTACCATATACTCAGCTATTCCACTCCTGGGAATTTACTAAAAGAAAATGAAATTAGCATATGAGTTACCTGTACTCCATGTTTAAAGAGTCTGAATGCCCAGTAGCTAAGAATGGAATCAACTTATATGCCATTAACTGATGATTGAATAAAGAAAATGTGGTGTGTATATATATATATATATTTACATAAATGTATATAATGGAATATTACTCAGCCATAAAATTCTGATGTTTGCAACAAAATGAATGCAACTGGAGATCATTATGTTAACTGAAATCAGACCTCAAAAGACCAATACTACATGTTGTCTCTTTGTGGTTGTTAATATATAGAGTATAAAAACTAGACATATGTCATATTATTTGGTATATAGTTATAACTATTCCTTCCCTGAATCATATTAAAAGACCATATTAAAAAGAAAAGAAGTGGAGGGGGGAACAGTGAAGACTCTTGGAGTACTTGTAATGTGTTGTTCTTAATTTGTATGTTGGTTCTGGGTGTGACCAGAGGACCAAACACCCTTTTATCCATACACTGATGTGCATTTCTTGGTATGCATACTGTATTTCAATAAAAAATTAAAAAGTAATAAGCAAAAAATTAAAAACATTTAATTTACAGATAATAATTACAGATAATTATTCATGGGCTGCAGTGTGCATTTCAATAGATGTAGACAATGTACTGTGCTCGGATCAAACACTTAGCATTTCTTTGTATTGAGGACATTCAAAACCTTCCCTCCTGGCTATTTTAAAATAGGTGACTAATGGTCAACCACAGTTATCCTACTGCACTGTAGATGTTAGGAGTGTGTTTCCACTTAAGAAGGACTTCAGCTACCACTGGCTCCTTTGAGAATCTCTAGGAACTTATTAAGCCTGTTTTAGAGATACCACTTGATACCAGCTATTGGGCACTTTAGAGGTGCCAGACAGTCAGTGATTCCTCAATACTAATCATCTCCATCACTCTCACACCCATGTAGTTTTATGGAGAAGGAAATCTAGGCCCAGAGAGGGTAGGTGCTACCAGAGGGCCTGGGCTGTGCCTTTCCCATCTTTGCATGGTGCTTTGCATGCTACATGATAAAAAAATTTCAAAGCTGGAAAGTCTCTTGGAAAACATTGAGTTCAAAGCTTTCATTTTCTGGAAAATGAAATTGAGGGTAGGAGCATGAACATGAATTCTGTAAGGTCCCAGTCTTGGTTAAAGGGAGAACACCACCCTCAAGGGAAGCTCATGGCTGCAGCAGTGCATATCCGTTGGGTGCCTTAGCTTTCTAGATCTCTTAGGAAATCTGGTATGGTTTTTAATTTTAAAATTCTCTCTCTCTGTCTCTCTGATGCAGTACAGCTAGCCAGTACCAAACAGCTAGCTCACACACTCTGGAGCAATACTGTAAACCCAAACAAGAAAGCTGACCTTGCTGTGCCCTCCACCCCGACTCAGCCTCCCCCAACTCTCGTTTGGCAGAAAGAGCCAGTGACCACCCCCAGTCATCCATAGTAGCCCCTGGGTTGAGACACTCACCGTGCTCTGCCCGCAGCCAGTCTCTTGGACTACTGTTCCCGACTCTGCTGTGGGGAACTTGCTTCCCCCAAGGTCTTGCTGGGTAATATGGAGGGCTCCAAAGTCCTCTTCACTTTCTTCCTGTGAGCTGGCCAGGCCACCTGTTGCTTAGAGCTAAACCTCCCCACCCATATTTACCTCCTTGTTTTTTGGACAATAAGCTGAGTAAATATGATTCCATTTGACAAGTGTTTAATGGTGCCAGTGTTGCTGTGGCAGACCCAGGAATGAATCCAGCTCCCCGGACATGGTGTATGGAGCTCTCCCGCAAGACTCAATGACGAACACTCCACAGCAGAGAGATCAGCACCCGCCCTGGGAGAACAGAGGTGAAACTGATTTGCAGGATTTGAAGGGATTAGGGAAGACTTCAAACAGAAGGTGCCATCTGAAATCTAAGTGGAAAATGAAGGAGTGGAGGTGTAGAGGTAGAAATGGGGTTGGCAATCAACTTCCATCTGTTTTTATCTGAATCAGGGCCTACAGACAATTAGAAACCAGCCACCAGAGCTCATGCAACATAGCCACGGCACACTTCGTGTGAATAACACAGGTCAAAATGTACAAGGACTGCTGCCCTCAGCAACAAGCAGCTGGATGGAGCTGTCCACGATACATTTCCTTTTGTATTCATACTGGCATATAATAGGCACTCAATAAATACTCACTGATGAACAACTGAAAATGGACAAGGTAGCCAGAGCTTTGTTGGATGGTCAGCAGAAAGAACCTCATCACAGGGGACATGGAGGAGAATGTGCAGGACCTGGTTTGGTATGGCTAGTTGTGAGGGATATTGAGAGTGATTATTTATTTATTTATTTTAAAGATTTATTTATTTGTTTGAAAGTCAGAGTTATACAGAGAGAAGGAGAGGCAGAGAGAGAGAGAGAGAGAGAGAGAGAGAGAGAGGTCTTCCATCCACTGGGTCACTCCCCAGTTGGTCGCAAGGGCCGGAGCTGTGCTGATCTGAAGTCAGGAGTCAGGAGCTTCCTCCAGGTCTCTCACATGGGTGCAGGGGCCCAAGGGCTCTGGCCATCCTCCACTGCTTTCCCAGGCCATAGCAGAGAGCTGGATTGGAAGTGGAGCAGCCAGGACTTGAACTGGCGCCCATATGGGATGCTGGCCCTGCAGGCGGCGGCTTTAACCACTACACCACATCACCAGCCCAGGATACTGAAAGTTATAGGGATGAAAAGTTGGAGCCAAAGTTCATGTTTTCCCAATTTCCTGTCAAATTTCTGGGCACTTGTCTCTCTTATAGAATTCCTTATATAAATATACTAAGAATGTACAGGGGCCAGCGCTGTGGCGTAGTGGGTAAAGCCGTTGCCTGCAGTACTGGCATCCCATATGGGTGACGATTCGAGTCTTGGCTGTTCCACTTCCAATCCAGCTCTCTGCTGTGGCCTGGGAAGGCAGTAGAGGATGGCCCAAGTCCTTGAGCCCCTGCACCCTTGTGGGAGACCTGGAGGAAGCTCCTGGCTTCGGATGGGCACGGCTCCGGCCGTTGTGGCCAATTGGGGAGTGAACCAGCAGATGGAAGACCTCTCTTTCTCTCTCCCTCTTTCTCTCTCTCTGTCTCTGCCTCTCCTTCTCTCTCTGTGTAACTCTGACTTTCAAATAAATAAATAATCTTAAAAAAACAAAAAAGAATGTACATTAATTTTTGTCTATGTATAGCTTCTCCAAGTTTAGTATTATTTTGACTTTGTTTATACTTTTTGTCTTGAAATTTTAAAAACATTTTATGTAGTAAAATAATCAATCTTTTCTTTAATTACCTAAGTGTTTTGAGCCATTGTTAGAAACCCTTTACTGATACCAAATTTGTGTAGGACTTCACCTGTATTTTTTCTGGTATTTGTATGGCTTTAACTTTCTACACTTTTTATTCCTAATAGTTTAGGGTTTATTCTTATGAATAGTGTGAGAGGTTGTTTTAATTTTATACTTTTCCAAAAAGCTTCTGAGTTGACCCAGAACAATTAAGACAGTCCATCTTCAGTAGTCTGAAATGCTATTTTTGTCAAATGTTGAATTTCTTTTTTCTAGAAGATGTTCTTTTATATGTGAAAGGTAGAGTAACAGAGAGAGGGGGAGAGACTGAGAGAAAGAGGTCTTCCATCTGCTGGTTAACTTCCCCAGTGGCTTCAATGGTCAGGCTTGGGCCAGCCTGAAGCCAGGAGCCTGGAACTCCATCCAATTCTTGTATATGGATGGCAGTGGCCCAAGCTCTTGGGTCACCTGATCCTCCTTTCCCAGGTACATTAGCAGGGAGCTAGATTAGAAGCAGAACATCTGGGACATAAGCTCTGATATGGAATGGTGGTGTTGCAGTAGAAGCTTAACCCACTGTATCACAACAGTGACCACATGTTATGTTAAATTTCTATAGGCATTTGAGTCTAATTATGGTCTTTCTCTTCTATTCAATTGGCTGATTTATCTATTCATGTGTTATTTAACTATAGAGACTTTGTAGTGACTATGATGTCTGACAGGGTAGTATCACTTGTAATTTTTATTCTTTATAGTTTTTCTGTCTATTCTTTTTTATTTTAAATAAAGACTTATTTATTTGAAAGGTAGGATTTCAGAGAGAGAGAGAGGGTGAGATAGAGAAAGAGTTTATATCTGTTGATTCACTCCTCACATGGCCATAAAGGCCAGGGCTGGGCCAGGCAAAGCCAGGAGTCAGGAGCTTCATCTGAGTCTCTCATGTAGGCAGCAGGGGCCCAAGCACTTGGGCCATCTTCTGCTGCCTTCCCAGGCACATTAGCAGGGAGCTGGATCAGAAGTGGAGCAAGCAACCAAGACTGGAATTAGTGCCCATCTGTGATGCCAGCATTGCCTGCTGTGGCTTAACATGCTGCACCACAATGCCAGCCCCTATTTTTTTTAGTAATTTATTTGAAATAGAGTGGGGAGGGAGGAGAGAGAGATGAGAGAGAGAGGGAGAGGAAGAGAGAGAGAGAGAGAGATCCTATATGCTGATTTATTTCTCAAATGCCCACAATGGCCAATGGCCTGATTGGTCTGAGGAAGGAACCAGGAGTCAGGAATGCAATCCAGGTCTCCCACATGGATTGTAGGAACCCCATTACTTGAGCCATCACCACTGCCTCCCAGGGTCTACACCAGTGGGAAGCTAGTTAGGAGCCAGACTCAGGAACGAAAACCAGGTGCTCCAACGTGGCATATGGGCATCTTGGCTGAATGCCCACTTCCAGACGCGTTTGTTTATGTTGCTCTCATTTGTGATACTTAATTTTATGTGTCTGCTTATTTGGATTTGTCTATGTGGATGATTCTGGGTGAGATTAGCATTTGAATTGGTGGACTCAGCAAAGCAGGTTGCCTTCCCCAATGTGGATAAACATGTTCCAGTCCACTGACTGTCTGAATAGAACCAAACACAGAGGAAGGAAGAATTCACTGTCTTTCCTGCCTTATTTTTGATTTTTTTTGCCCCTTGTTGAGCTGG